GATTACGCTCCATCCGAAATCGAGCTACTACGGTTAATTGACCAGACTGAGATTCGAACTCAGGACCTTGTCCGTGTTAAGGACACGTGATAACCAACTACACCATCCGGCCGTGTATTAAGTTCAAATATAATGCAACTACACTGGCGTTTGACATTTGGACTGCTCATGTAGTGCGTGCATTCGCTGATACCACTCGAGACCTTGGTGCTAGGGACTTCCACCCTTCCCTCAACCGTTAATATCCACCAAAGAGGAAACAGGAAAAACCTTTGGCTGCCCCAACACGCCTTTGTCATATTGTACACAGCCACCGCGCGAGATATGGCCTCACGGTCCTCCTTTTGTCGAGTGAGGTAGGTGTCAAGGCTACCCAGACTTTAATTCGGGGGGATGACGACCAAGAGGCAGTCTAAAACACCTTTCATCGTTGCCAGTTTTTAGAGTGTCAGTGGTACTATTAGAGATTGTTGCCTCAACATCCACAAGGACCCCGAAATCGACAACGCTTGAAAACTGTGCGTCCCCGCGTGCCCATTTGTGATCTCTTCACTCATTCGTCCCAACTCACACCTCACACCTCACACCTCACACCTCCCAGCTGCCTCTCCTCCCTCAAGATGTGTAGCTCCATTAGAGCAACGGTCCCCCATAGACCAAGACCCGAGCAATATAGGTTATCACTTTAATTCCTCCTCGCGGGTCTACATAGCATCGTAATTCTATAGTGGGAGATGGCCGGTTTTTGATGAGGCAAATGCCCGATTGCAATTGGAGTGACGCCACTATGGGTATTTGAGGAGAGATGGTGTGGTAAGATTGAGGTGGAGGACTCGCGTGAGAATGATAGGTCTAACATTGACGAGGAGTCGTCCATTTTAGATATGCTCGTGGTTGCTTTCAACTTCGATTCGGATGCAATTCTTCTTGGCTATCCCAAATATGCAGAGCGTACTGAACGATTAGACCGGCACCACTGGAAGGTGAATAATTCGTCTCTGCCGGCGGGAGCACGCCTTGGTGCGCCGCATACTGCTTACGGGATCGGTCTACAATCGAACAAGCTAGGGGATAAGGGACGAGCTTCCCCCAATCTGCCGCACAATAATTATAGAAACCTCTTGCATTTTGCATCAGATCTTAATTGCGTACGCAGCTATCTAGCTATGACAAAATATCTAAGAAAAGTACATAATAGACGACTCAATATAAAGGAAGAGCACTCATGCCTCAGATTTCATTTGCAAGTACCAGTGCGAAGTTATGGTGGCTTTTTCTTCACCCCAAGTCAACCCTCATGCGTGTACACCCACCTAGGGGAACTTCTCAAAACCTCTGATTTGTCCAGATATGTCTCCATCATCTTTCAACTTTTTTCCGCGTGAAATATGATCTAAGGCGTCTCCTTCCCTACTGAAGTAAGTGCCAAGGCTACTCAAAATATACCGGAGAACACCACCAGGAGGCGGATCACGGTATCTTCCATCGTTGACTAGTGTTTGTAGTGTCAGCTGCACTCTCGCAAGCGAAGTCTCGGCGAGCACAAAGATCAATTCGTAAAACTCTTGCCAAAATCACTCGCCCGTCGAGTTTGTATCCTTCCTTTCCATTATCTTGTGAACTTGTCCTGATCCCTCTCACGTCCATCCCAAAAAATAGTCTCCCAGATTTGTGCGCCACGCTTTGCTTCCTCCGTCGGGTGTAAATATCGGCGTGGGCGTGTATCTGGCGACCAGCTAAGGCCAGAGAAAGTCGACAGGAGATGTGGTCATTGGAATGAGGATGTACTAGGTCATACTTGTAAACTTGATGAGGCTTAGGTAGGAATCGATTTCGTTGGGAGTGAAAGATTGATATGGTGGAGTAATTTGAATCATTGCCTCGTAGGCCAACTTGTTCGGTATTGCGAAATTTGACTGAACTTGGCTCTGGGAGAATATTTCACCCCCAGGTTCCTAGAGGACACCGCGTACAGGTGTTCAGTCTTACTCTTCGACTTGATCGCTTGCTCAGCAACTCGACCTCTAGACTTCGTGTCTCTCGACTATTCTGTAGTTCTCCGAACCTTGACCACCTGGCACCTCGCCAGTTGTCAGAAATCAAGGTTCTTGCTATCGCGCCTTGTTTATTTCTTGTACAATTCCTGACAGAGTCCAATGCCAAGCTGTGGCTCTATAATTTATCCAGTCAATAGATAGGAAGGTTCGGTTGCGAGATGTCATACATGATGTAATCATTCTGGTATTGCATGTGAAGTAATTGTTCTGATATCATTTGTTGTCAACAAGTTTATCTGGTCTGATATAGCTCAGACGTCGATGGTTCACTGAAACTTATATAAGTAGTTAACAATTAAGAGTAGAAAATCAATGAATTAAAATGATGTAATCCTTACTTTCCACAACACCAGTTGAATTATATCTGAGTATCCTTCGTTAGTAGCTATAATCCTAAAAGTGATTGAGAATTTATTGACTCCTCAGTCATTGAGGTGATGGAACTCATCAATATTAGTAATTTCCGAAGTGAAACTAGGTACAGAATTTGTGGTCACGTGTGTATAACTTGGCCTACTTGTTAGCCCCGATTATTCTAGATTCCAACCAAAACTTATCCATCGTAGCTCTTAAGAAACATACGTGGGGCAAGGTATTACATGGTAAGTGTTGACTAGAGAGCCCTAGTGCTGGGGAATGGTAATAGAGTGTACTGAATTGTATATATTATTACTTCTTTCTAGCGTGTATCTAATCTCTGTGGATCAGGGTAAAGCCCTCGTTGTCTATTGGAATAGATTGAAAAAACATTATATATAAAAACAAGTAAATTTTGGTGGTTAAATGTCTACTTTTAGCAGTCCTTCATAGTCATAGACTCAGTAGGGACTTAATTTTAATTCTACTCTAATCTCTGTGGATTAGATGAGACGCAGAGGCATCTCCCGATTAGTCAGCTAGTATTGTCTTCCGAGCCTTGTGGCCTGAAGTCGCAACATCCAGCCTAAGTGGAACCAATAGAAACTCCAAGTTAGAATGAAATATAGAAAAGTTGTATTGAAATATTATGACCTACATAGTTGTATACTCAATTAGAAAATAAATGGATTATTATTATTATAATTATTGTTTAGCAGGGTTGACGAATTCACAGTGCTTTGCATTACTCTATACGACACAAAAGAAGTTGGGCTAAGCTTCTTTATAGCACACACACTCTGTCAAGACTTTTCTAATATTCCAACCCCACCTTCGGGAAATAGCTGATAGGAGCCTAGAATTATACAGTGTAAAGTTCTTTTTTTTTATACAATTCTGCGGTGCTCAGATGGACGGCCCCTCGAGTGCTTCAGAAAAGCAGCTATGTCTTTAGATTTGGTCCTAATTTCGGTATGAAGAGAGCCCCGCACCCAGCAAATTTTGATGATTTTCCCGGCTGCCATGTGCTCAAAAAAAAGCCGTTAATTAGTTGGCTAAAGAGGGAAGATAGTGTAGGTGAATGGGATCATCTAAGTGTGCGATTCATTGAGGACTCCTAAGGGGTGGTACTGTTTGTGAGTGGGTGTAGTAGATACACACGAGGGGATAAGCTACTTGCATGAGTATCCTTGGACTCTGGACTGAAAAGACCTAACTTTCAATTCTAATACAGGATTGGGAAAGGACATTAATATACCATAAAAGTTCAGTGGTCAGCTGTTCCCAAGGCACAAGCTAGGCCAAGCCAGTTGCCACCTGCATAATCTTTCAATGCGAATATCTTCTTGTCCTGAAGCGCGACTGGGGTAGATATCTAATAACGTGCTATCGCGGCAGCTAGTGCCCTTGTTGACCCACTAATACCCACAGCATTCGGCTAGCCAGCCTCTCGGATGTTCCAGAAGGAGAGCTATTCGTGGCTAAATTATTGATACCACTAAGTACAGGCGCCCTAGAATATTATTTTTTGGCAAGTTATCCAAGCTCTCACAGACTTGGCAAATTCCCCATCCTCGTTCACTGATAAGATAATAATTCGCAACAAAAAAATAAATTGAGCATATGATTATGTCGAGACTTGCCAGGGACTCTACCGTTAATAAGAGGCCGCAAAAGAGAGATAGGAACATAGATCTTTGGCCTGTTGATAGAGAGGAACTAGATTTCCCATGTAGTCTTAGACTGATTGAGTACAAAAAGCAAACTTGCCTCCGGGCCAGCTGTTAGAATCATTTTCGTGTTTGTCACGTTGCCTCAAGCTAGTGAGTTGTCTCGGCAGCCCCACCACACTGGTGCAGACAGATCATCTGCTACCAGTCATTCTCGCCCCTCGGAGTTGCACGAGAAAATTCAACGACTTGTTCAATGAGAGAAGTGCAGTTCCACTTCTGCTCGCATGTCCATCCTTCCAAAATATAACTTGCAGTGTCTCAATGAAAAGATGCGGTCTCAAAATAGAATAATCAATACCTCACAACTTTCGCTTAATGGACGCAAGCGGTGTGGACCAGGCATACAGACAGCGCACATTGGGCATCAGTTACTGAAATGTTTATCACACATTCTCTGGTTTCTTCTCATCAGCATTTCACCTAGAAGATAGGCCGAGTTCCAGCTAAAGCTAAAATCCGCTATCAGATCATTACGACGTCTAGATTTAGTCCTAGTTCTTCCAAAAATCTTGCGAAAATAACAAATATCATGTAAATTACTTTGATATGGTGATTGTTGTCAAACCTCCTGCATCGGCGTATATATTGCCGCTGCATTGTTGTAATACTTATGACTAAACCTGCATGATAACCGCCGATCAGATACCAGAAAAACTTGCCAGCAAATTGCCGGCTAACTCACAATCACTAAACAGCCCTTCAGGCCAAACCTAGAAGAATGACAGGAACTAGGAATTGTTCGTATATATTGCATCAATGCAACTCTTGGGATAGAATTTGTAGCGCAATGAATTCATTGCGAGTGTTTGATCATTGATCTTAAGGGTTGGCTTGTAAAAGCTCCCCTTCGACTATGGCGCTGCTCGACGCTGCTCGACTCTCTGTCTCTACAACAGCTACAACCAATTCAAATCCACTCCTAGGAATCATTATCAAACTTGAACAACTTCCTATTACCACTACTACTACGTCAATACTTTCCGCATGTGCGGATAGCCACAACTCTCCCACGCTTTCAACAGCACCAACCCTGAATAGCTTTGATGTTGGCTCAACTGTCTCCCCTCAAGTTAGCCAAGATGCACCAGTTATTCCTTTGTTGATAAAATCCTATGAAACGCCCGAATGTGCGACTAAACCCCGGGTTCAACATGTAAGTTTGGTAATGTTTCATAGCCTCAATTTCCAATGATCGAATACCAACTACTCAAAGGTGCAACCGCAAACCCTTAGCGTTCTCGGTATGGTGTTATGTGCAATTGGAAGTATAGCTTTTTTGGTCGGTGCGGCCTATTTGTATTACCTCAAGATACAACATGATAAAGCAATATGGATACGCCGAGAGCAAAGACGTGAGTCAAATCCACATAAAAATCAATATCCTGCCCCAAGATCAGTTATGTCTTGAAATTCATGTTCTACTGCTCTACCAAATTTTGGTATACAATCCCTATCAACAACTTTTTCCCTCTCTCCCGAAAAAGAACCCTTGTCGACTTTTCTGTAAATATGAGTATGGACATAGCTAAATATAAAATAAAGGTATCTGGCCTGTGGCCATTATGCTAATAAATATCTAGGTATGAAAAGAAGACGCCACAACAATTCAAAGAAAACTGCTCGCTCATTGCAGCCGGATGTCGAGGCGTCACCTGTAGACTCATCACTTGACGAAAAGCCGTCTGACTCCCAGTCAGCTGACGACGAGAGCCAAGACGATAAAGAGCAACAATCAGATGAAGAACAAGTAGATCAAGAGGAACCTCAGGAAGAGCAACCGGCAGATGCAGAACAGGTAGGTAATAAGGAACCTGAGGAAGAACAGTCGATAAATGAAGGGCAAGCAGATCAAAAAGAATCCGAGGAAGATCAGCCGGTGAATGAAGAGCAAGGGGATCAAAAGGAACCTGAGGGAGAGCAGCCAGCAAATGAAGAGCAAGCAGATCAAAAGGAATCCGAGGAAGAGCAGTTGGCGAATGAAGAGCAAGTAGAACAAAGGGAACCTGAGGAAGAACAGCCAGCAAATGAAGAGCAAGGGGATCAAAAGGAACCTGAGGGAGAGCAGCCAGCAAATGAAGAGCAAGCAGATCAAAAGGAATCCGAGGAAGAGCAGTTGGCGAATGAAGAGCAAGTAGAACAAAGGGAACCTGAGGAAGAACAGCCTGCAAATGAAGAGCAAGTAGATCAAAAGGAACCTGAGGGAGAGCAGCCAGCAAATGAAGAGCAAGTAGATCAAAAGGAATCCGAGGAAGATAAACCGGCGAATGAAGAGCAGGTAGGTGACAGCCAACCTCAAGAAGAGTCGCCTACAGATGAGAAGGAACACGAGGGAGAGCAGTCTAAGGAAGAAGCAGCTGGTGATAACTAGTACAATAAATATTAGTTAACATATAGTTAGCTTCTAAAAAGGTACAGTTCACTCGTGAGTATAAAAATATGGACATTAAAGTCTTAAAATAATAAGTAAATCTAACCATAGTTCCCTCTTCGCTACTAAAAGATCAGGCTAAAGTTACGATTACCAATTATGTCTGTCTCAAATTTCTACGAGAGATAACAGTACTACCCCCATTGTGAATCAATCCTACGGCAATAACTTTACTTGGCTAGTAAGAGCCTAGACTTTCAAAAAATGAAGCAGAGATTAACTGATATTCTAATGCATCCGGCACGAGCGCTGAATTTAATTTGATGAGGCAGGTAGTTGTTTCTGAAGTATCCAATATTTTGAAAATATTTAAATGTATAATCCACGACTTAGTTCGTTTACTTATTGATAGAGGGAACCTTTTGCAATAGTGAAGGATAAAAGGTATCAATTCTACTTCTCTTCTAAACACAGGTACCAGACTCCTTTTAAACCCAATAGATAGCCCGTGCGGGATCTCCTATTAACAGCAGTAAACAACGCTAGCACAGAGTATACGCAATCTCCGTTAGCGAAACACCAGTCGGTCGGGTCTACTAATTATCGAGCCTAGTAGGATCGAAAAAGTGTTTCACAACACAAAAATAATAGAAAACTCAACCAAACCCTTCATCAATAACTGCCATCAAGCATCACCTGACTTATCATTGTACTCAATAATTTTAACAGAAGACGCTAATTCAACTGGAGGATAATGACTGAACACCTGTACACAGTGACCTCTCCGAACCTAGCAGTTAAATATTTTTCTAAAGCCAGGCCCATTTCAATTTCGCTATTCCGAAGAAGTTGGCCCACGAGGCAATGACTAAGTATTGAATATTCGATCAACTTCCACTCCCGAGAAGATCGTTTCCGACGAAAGTTTAATCAAGTATAGCCTAGTAATTCCTCATTTCTATGACTACACTTCTCATTAAATTAGCTTCTCGCCTCGAGTGGCCACCAAATATACGCCCACGACGATGTTTACACCCGCTGTAGGAAACAAATCGGGAAAGTAGACATTCGTGATGGACGTGAGAGATAATAGGATAGATAGGAGAGTCAATGCGGATGGTGTATACATTTTTGGAAGGGCTAACATTACGATATTTGGTACAGAGTTTTTCAAATTGAGTGATGTGCGCTACATGACTTTAATCTCGAACTATAGTCGACACTATAAAGACCGACCTGGGTGGAGGGTGTGGAGATATATCGTCACGCCTGGTCTGCTAAGTAGAGGCTGAATATCCTGGACAACTATCCCACTCGAGACAGAAGACGACTTGTTCGAGCCTAGTAATACTTCATCGTATTTCTCACGGCGCTAATCTATTTGGATAGCGAAGGCATGCTTGGACAACCAAAGGTTTTTGAATTTATCTTTACTAGGTACTCACGGATAATGGTCGACTGTTTGTGTTAACAAGCATTCCTCATGGTGGTATTTGCAAATGAAATCTAGAGTATGAGTATATCTTATATTAAAAGAGTTATCCAACGTGTATATATAGTACTAGACATTTATCATAGCTAAATAGTTGAATAAAAGTTAAATGATTTTAAAATAAAAAGATAATATTTCACTCCAGGATATTTATTTTCAATTCATTATATTGTCCTTTCTGAATCTATGACTATATAGGACATATAGGTCCCAACCGCCTACAGACCAAGGATACCTAAGCCAGTAGCACATCCCCTACTATGCTTCCCATACAGCTCCCCTCAAACAGTACCACCCCTCACAAGCCCTCATTCGATCATACACTTAGAGGAGCCCTTTGCCGTTCATTATCTCTCCTCTCCAGCCAACAAAACGATGGCCATTTGCGGGTGTATGGTAGCCGGGAAAAATCGTAGAAACCCCTGGGTTCGGGGCTCTTGTAATACCGAAATTAGGACTAAATCCGAAGACATAGTGCCCCTTCTGGAGCGTTCGAAGAGGCCGGCCAACTGGGCGCTGCAGACTTGTGGGTACCTCGGGAAGATCACCCTTTGTCTTTTTAGCCTCCTTCCAACTTCTTCCCACTGGTCGTGCTGAGATGTCAGAAAAGCCTTGACAGAGCGTGGTTGCTGTATGGCAGCTCAGCCCAACATCTTTTATGCCGTCCAGGGCCTCGGGGAGTGCCGTTGACTCATCGACAATACAGATTATCCTGACTAATTAGATGAAATTTTGGTCTTGGCACCTACAAACGTTCCAAAGTTGGAAACCCCTCGAAAATGTCAGTCCCAGCATGGTCTTCGGAAACCTCTTCCCCCTCTCGCTCCACATCTTAGCCGCCTGTTCTTCCTCAAGTTGTTTGTCCCATTAGAGCAACAGTCCCCCATAAGCCATGACCCAGGCTTTGTATTTTTCGACTTGATTTCCTCCTAGCGGGTATACGTAGCGTCGTAAATTTGTAGTGAGAGATGGTTGGAAATTAATGGGGCAAGCTCCTGTTTGCAATTGGAGTAACTTCTTTATTGGTCGTTGAGGCGAGATTGTCAGACCAGTATCAGAACCCGGTGGAATTCGTATTCCTGAATTAATGTTTCGTGATTCATGTAAATTCCATTCTTCTAACATGATGGTAACATTATTGTCAGAATAATATGCCAAGCTGGTATCTGACATAATTTGTGATTGCCTCAGGAAAACCTTGGCGTTTTGGGTAATTTTCAGCTAGAAAATACTTGGCATCCGTGTAACAGACGTGGTGGACTGGTATTTTTTTTTTAAATCCATTTACATCCTCTATAAGTCTAAGACTATTGTAGGATGTGCACTCCATTAGGAGTGCATATTCTAATACCTGCTACATACAAGGTTATCCAATTTTTATTGTTCCAGTCTTCTGCATGTGAATAGTTTGAGTGCCCTAGACTCTCTGGTGGACTGGTATTGAGTCGGTTTAGGATTACATCTTGGCTACAACATGTTTGGATTGTATCCTGTGATGTAAGGAAGCTATTTCTAGATATTATCATCTTATGTCAGGTAGTAGATATGTGTAGATATATAAGCTTAGAGAAAGAGGAAGGAAGATAGACAGACAGACAGACAGACAGACAGACAATTACATCTTTTTATTTCACTTCAATTGAAAGCTCCTGTGCGGGCTATTCTTCCAGATACCTCTAGTCTCAATCATTAGAGCTTCCGAACCAGCTCAAAAGGTTCGACAGAGATGATGCGTGGTTAGTATCGGAATGCTCGGGTGGTATTTATATCACAAGCTTTCTGTAGCAGTAATAACAATTGGTGGTTAATATATATCTTCTTTCTTCTTCTTCCTCCTCTAACTAAAGGAAACACCTATATACAGCAGCTGTCCCTCCCTCCTGACGCCATTTCTAAACAGGTAACTCATTACTCATCAACATAATTAGTCATCATATCTAAAATGATACATGAAAGGTCATTGAGTCATTAGGCCATTCAACACTGGCAACAAACAAAAGAAGGAGAACAGCGTAGTTGTACATTATATTTGTTCCAGTTTAGATAAGCTCCATTCTACCTCTTCATTGTGATCGATTTTTGATAGAGTTGGTGCAAATAACTAGAGATATCTGAATGCAAATTTTTTCTCAAGGCTTGGTTTTATAGTTGCTGCTAATTTGGTGCAATTTACCATTGCATATAATTTTGGCGGCGAGAACACTTCTATTTAATCTTGTACAACTGGTCGAGGAACGATGTTGAATAGATGCTCGATTTTCTTTGTCTGCAAGTAATATTCTGAAACTAATCTGCGAGAAGTCTTTATTATTTGCAAGTGATAAACTTCAATCCTCTAGTTGTATTTTCCTTCTGCCACTTAATTCTTAAATTCAGTAATTTACTATCTGATTTCTTTGATTGATAATCTGGATAGCAGAAGATTGATCAAAAGTAGCTCTGGTTGACACAAGGTTGCAACCTATGCCCCTGGGGCTCACTAGTTCCGGTAGCCTTTATATAAAGAAATTGTATTTCAAATTTATAAGTAATTGTATATATGCCTTGTAAATGTCACGAGCGTATGATTGGAGATGAATTGTATCAGTTGAAGCGGGGATATTTTGTTGTTTAATCCATGTGGTTGTAGGTGTCTGACTCAGTATAAAATCCAATCTATGATTCCCATACGCTTGTACAGTGAGACAGGATTTCCCAGTTTCTTTTTCCGTGCCTTCATTTTTCACTCCACTGATAAATTCTGAATCGGGGATTCTCGGCTGAAGCGGATTATTTGGCAATCTGGCAAATTGAAAAGCACCTTTTTGAAGGGAAATTTGTCTTTTATTTTTTCGAAATATTTCAAAAGAGGGCTTTTGTGTAGTCATTTTGGATTTAAGGTTTGAATCCAAGTTTAGAGCATCAAAATATCGCGGAGGTAGATTGTGAGTTCGAGGTATATTTCAGTGGGATGTTTTTTCTTCATTCTCTTGAAAATCCTTAGTCTGTGATGATTTGTCAATATATAGTGGGTAGTCATCATTGTTGTACATCAAGTCTGGCTCGTAAACGTCGGGCGGGGTTGAATGTTCGAGAGAATATTCAATGGGTGATTGAGACGTTGCAGGAAGCGAGGTAGGAGGGCAAGACTGAACACCTGTACGCAGTGTCCTCTACGAACCTGGGAGTGAAATATTCTCCCAAAGCCAAGTTCAGTCAAATTTCGCAATATCAAAGAAGTTGGCCCACGAGGCAAAAATCCAAATTACTCCTCCACGTCGTTATTTCGCTCCCAACGAGTTTGACTCCTATCTTCGTCTCATCGAGTCTACAAGTACGACCAAGTACATCCTCATTCCAATGACCACACCACTCTTCGACCTTCTCTGGCCTCAGCTGGTCACCAAATACACGCCCACACCGATATTTATACCCGACGGAGGAAGGAAAGCGTGGCGCACAAATCTGGGAGACAGTTCTTTGGGATGGATATGAGAGAGATCTGGACAAGTTGACAAGATGATGCGAA